ATCACATGATTACAACCGAAATGCAATATTGTTATTATAAATAATTCAGTCTTATAATTTGTGTAAGGATAATTTTTATGGGCAACTTATTTTATTTTTTTTATTAGAATTTATACTTTCTTAGAACTTACATAGGGACATAAATACCATATATATATGAACGGGTTTGTCATGTAATTAATTGTTCAATTAAAAAGACATTACCCAATTGAACTCATGTAGCTTATAAGAGTGGAATATGGACGGAATATAAAAAAGAATTAACAATTTTATTCCTAGAAAATTATTTTTGGTTATAATAACAATTATTAAAGCAGTTACAAGTACTTCTCTATATACAAATTGTAATATTAAACGTTTCACAAAAAATATTATATTATGTAAAGATAAGTATGTAATAAAATGATTTACAGCTACTATAAATCTATGAAGATAGTAATTTCCCCCGGCTGTCCTCAATATTCTACTCTCCTTGTGTGATTTATTAGATATATAAGTTATTGCTAAGGATATCATCGCATAACAATGTATGATATGTTTGACTATTACGAGTATTATATAAGCATAAATAATAACAATTTGTCATAGGTATTATACCATTTTTAAAGTATCCAGATAAAACTGTATTTACCAGCCAGTCAGTTAAACATTGTGTTAATGAGAATGATATCCATTCATCCATTTCCGTGACAAATATTAAGCACATCCTGAATTATATACTATGCGGAAAAGAGTATTTTACTCCCACAAAGCTATTGTCATTTATTATAAAAACTATATGACAATTGAACCTTTTACTAATATTTTTATCCTGTTTTAAAATTCTACATATGGTCTTTCATAAATGGGGAAGTAAATACATATTTTTGAGGTTTTTTTTATAATATAACGCGCAATACTCTGTTGATACGGAAGCATACTTCGCGAGCTAACTCCGCTCTTTTCTTAATGTCAAGTAATATCACAAAAGTGAAAACATCTTAGTAAAGACTCTCGTTCCTAGCAGTTGCATATTCAGATGCACAAAATTATTATAACTCTCCATTATTCTAACTCTTGAATTAAGATTATCTTAACTACCACATGACATTAGTAGGGTCAGGATAAACTGAAAATTTATTGAGCCAACGATGAGCTTCAAATGATTTACATTCATTTTGAAAATAATTAAAATTCATGTGCCTCTCGATCGTTAACATCGCGCTGTTGTTGTACCGCTTCCATACAAATCTTTTGTTTCATTTTGTATTCGTATTTTTATAGATTTCATATATAAAACAAAACATTTCGAATATCGTATATCAATTCTCGATAATTTATAAATTAGTCTGTATCACGAAACAATTTTCATTATAATTTAAGCTAGATATTTTTTATTTTAAAAGTTTTCAACTATAATACATTAAACTATTATTAAATCCAAAAAGGACACGTTTAAAAATAAGGATATAAATTATGTAAATCTTTCCTTTACTTTACTTTGTTTTTGGATGCAAATTTTCCTTAGTTTCAGAGATCCCCGATTTGCAAACCACTGGCACATAAAACATTTATCACTCCCCCGACTAGAATCCGATATTCTTTGAAATGGCGAGTGCGTTTGTAACTTTTATGCTGCCTTGAGGTCGTAAAAGACTTTGTAACTCTAACAAGTTTTAAAGATGGAAACGCTGTTAGAAAAACTATTTGTTTTATTAATAATGCAAGGAATATAAGTAGTGATATATGTGTTACAGTCATAAAGTACTTCACGTTACTGATAAATATCAATTATATTAAAGAAAATGTTTTCTTTTATAATTACTAAACCTAAAACATACGAAGTATCAAATACAAAAATAAAGGAATCAAGTTACAATATTGTTTGAATCAAAATAATTTGAAGAAAAATTCAAAATATTAATTCCATTTTTAAGAAACTTTTATTTAGTAACTATGAAAGGGTATAATTGAACTATCTCATCATTTTAAATATTATACTTTATACTCTGTGAATGTTATAACTTTTTTTGTACTAAGTCCTAAGTACTAAAAATAACTCAACCTAAAAACAAATTTATTTTTGACTATAAAAACATTTACAAAATGAGATAATTTTTAAAATAATTACCAAAACTACGAACCGTGATCAGTAGACGAGATTAAAATTTACCAGTTATCACGGTTGATTTAAAGTAATCAAAACTTCGGTTAAAATTTAATGTAATATATCGCGTAGTATATCTGAAAAACATAATTTTGTTTGCATGTGTGCTCCCGAAAATCTGATATCTGATAACCTCTACCAGGATATATTTAGAGACATTTTAATTTAACTTTTTTTGTAATAATATGACTTATAAAAAGAAATGATATAATTCGTGTTCTAGTAATAGACTACAGCGTTATAAAAGCTATAAAAATAGATGTACGGTTGTAAAGTAGCTTTTGATCAGTGCTTCTTCTGGACTTTGTTATATAATAGTATACAATAAAATATAACTATCACTATATGTCGTTTACAGTACTTTATTAATGTACTTTAATAAAAGACGAATATATTTTTTTTCACATCATATCCACTGCTCCCAAAACACCATAATATCAAATTATTCATACACAATAACCATGATATTGCAGACAATTGATACTGCAGTATGAATGTACAATGCAAAATAGGTCATATGTAAGAGAATTTCATTTATGGATACGGCATAATTGTAATACATATAATAAAATATATTTGAAATGAATAGTATGTCGATTTAAACTAGAATAAAGTTTTATTTAAACAATAACTAGATAATTTGTCGCAGTGTCATTTGATGCGGTTCATTTCAGTTTTCATGCCTTATAAATTAAAGTTTTCAGACTAACTGCAATTTACACGCTATTTCATTTCATATTAAAATGGGACAAAAAGACCACAACTTAATACGTTAAATACTACAGTGGCACGGATTATTTCTTTTGTGGCAAAAGCGAGCAGTTATTTAAAGACAAAATACTTTTGAAGCTGCTAGCTTCTCTTTGTTTTTGCGGTTCGGTTATGTGTAGATTACGTTTGACCACAATTTTATATAACCAGTACGTGTATTTATAATGTTGTTAAACTTAACACAAGTACTCACATCATCGTATCATTACAGATAATGACAATTCTAACTCTCATTATTTTTTCCGTCATTCATTTTCGTAATTGGCTGGCTTATACAAAATCATCACTTGTTCTTACATTAAGGAACTTTGATTAAAGGAACCGTATCCAATATAATTTTCTATACCGTGTTCATGTTTCGAGCCGCTACGCAGATTGCCAATTACAAATCTTCCATTGATCGAACAATCTTTTCATTTCGTTCGATAGGGTTCCGCGATTATTCTGTTTCATTGCGTTAATTGAATAGTTCCCTTTGTTACCGTTTAATTTAATTTAGCTCCCTTCATTCTTTTTATTAAGAGCTTGGTATTAATTTATTACACTTGATATAATAATTTTAATATCAAATAAAGTATATGTTATTAAGATTAATTATGCCGCAATAATAATAATATTTTATGTCGCAATAATCGTTGAAATACTATATATGAATCAGAGTCCAGGTAAAGAATTATATGTATAATTCTAAGGTCAATAATTTTATTAAAGTGTAGTTTCACCTGTCGTTAAATCTAGGCAACAGTGTCTTTTTTTATAAATATATTTTTCATAAAATAGATTTACATAAATATATTTCAACGATAGTCACACATATCCCAGACAGAAGCGTTTCTATGAAATAAGACAAAATAAGACCGCTTATCAGTTATAGTTATTTTATTTCGAAGGGTAGGCTGATTTTATTGCTATACTGTCGATATAACAATATCATATAAAATCCGTTTAGGAGTTAAATTCTTATAGAGGAGGAAAAGGTTAAAAAAGCCATTCACTTTCTATAAAAAATATCTCCAATTCATATATTTAATATGAGATTAATGAAAAATAAATCAATGCTTGATTTTAAAAAAATTCAGCTTTTCATGTCATAAGCTCTATAAGTAAATGAAAAATTATTAAACTAACTTAAAAAATCAGACTGACTAATTAATTTTTCTACGGAATCTAAAGTTATTAACCTTCTGTAGATAACAAATGTTAAAAGAGATTTTTCCAGTAATTATAAATCTCAATAAAATCTTTAGCTCAGTAAGCAAAATAATCAACAAATTCTACATGTTTACGTTCACTCACATATCAGTTCTTAATGTCTGTGATTTTAAAATGCTCATTTGTTATTGTTTATGTCTGTAAGTACATTATATATTTTTATAATTAAACGATGCTGTTCACATATAAAAAATATCTCAATGCTTTCGCGGAATTATTAAAATAAGAAAGAAATATTAATTGTAAGAAGTATCTATGTAAAGCTTAACTAGATTGAAATCAAATTAAATTAGTCGGAAAACAGGATATTAAAAATACTATAATAAAAAAAAAATATTTATAATACTTAAAATCTTCATAATTATTAATTTGGTATCATAATTTCAGTAATCCCCAATGGAAAGCTTCAAAGAACCTCTACTTTACCATTCCGCATTTAATTGATTTCGAACTATCAGATATAGGGAAACCAGTTCATATATTTGACGGAGTTGACTATTCTCAAGTACCAAAGAAAGTTTTCGAGGAGGATTTCGCTACTTGTGAAGAAGAATATGCTAAGTGTATTAGATTCACGTCAGTACTTACAACATTTACTAATATGTTTTGCCAACTATAATGTATTAGTATTACTCATCGAAGGAATATTTTTATCTTTTATTTGACAGCAATCCATACTTCTAAATTTAGAAAAATACGCTTAGTCCAATAATGACTAAAACAAATCATTTAAAGAAATAAAGAATTAATTGTAATTTATGAATTTTAAACTCATTGCAATTGGATACACTTTTTCACTGTTTTAAAGTTTTTAGGGTAAATATTAATCCCGTCTGTGGATATTTCGTACCACATGGAACACTTACAGGATATGAAGGGCTTGTGTGAATTGGACCTAGCGAGTTGTAGAGAAATGAAACGCCGCGGGATCCCAATACATGGGAAAAATTACCGCTATCGTAAGTTTTATTCGTTACTAGCTTTCCGTCCGCGTCGAGTTCGGTTATATCGCGTTTTCAAGAGAACTTTTCAAAAGTCTGGGATAAAAACTATCCTATGTTCTTTCTCAAGGTCAACTCTATATCTGTACCAAATTTCATTAAAATCAGTTCAGTGGTTTAGGCGTGAAAGCGTAACTGACAGACAGAGTTACTTTCGCATTTATAATATTTTAGGGATTTATTTTTAAAATACTAGCTCTTTGGTAAAAATGTTGTATGTATTGTCGTCAGGTCAGGTGTATTATTTGGGTGAAGGTTACGATTGCAGCATTCATAAACGTCGCTTAGCTGAAGGTTGGATACCTAGAGATATAAGGGACCCACTAGATGACGAAACCTCGTCTGAGCTTGCACCAACAGCCGATTACTATGACTTTGACATCGCAAGCCAGTACAGTGAAAAAAATGTTTAAAATTAAAACAAACAAAACAAGATATATTATTTATATAATGTAAACTGTAAAGGAATAGTCGGAATATAAAACAAATAAAGTATTATTGAGCCATATATTGATTTTATGGCCGTAAACGCGTATTGAACATTTAGTTAATATGAAAAGCCCTTTCATACAATCACTTCGCTGTAAATAAAATCTTCCATCAACGTAGTCTGGTTGTTATTTATGAATATATTTATTCACTCATTCACTCACCATAAAAGTCAGTAAACAGCTCACCGACGATGTATTTATCTTCCTGTAAAGATATTTATAATATTAATCCAGATGAAGCTTTTATAAAATTTAACAGACGGTTATAAATTATTAAATCAAAATTTTATCTGAAAATATTTTTAAAGCATTTCAAAAGATTTAAGTATTTTTTTTTATTATAAAGTATTTTTGTAAATTAAAATTTCAAAGTTGGTAAATATAGATTGTTTGCAATTTTATTTCTAAGTCATTTATAAAGGTTTTTACGTACATATCTAATGACTTATTTGACCTTTTATCAAAATAAACTTAATTAACTCTTAAACTTATTAAATCTTTTGCGAACAATAAAAAATATATATATATATATAATTATACGTACATATATATTTTATGACATGGTAAATATTTTATTATGATGACAATAAGTGGTAGTTCTATAATTTTGTAAAACTGTAGTGTTTAAGTTTCTATTAGAAAAAACTTAATTCAGTTACGCTGAATAGATTTGGTCTTCACCTCTTGATAAATAACAAAGAGATGTTCAAATCATAGAAATGCATTATCAATGGCAGAATAATACGTCCAAATTGCTTTTTGAAAGTATTTGAATAATGAATAAGATTTTTACAAATCAACAAAATTATTAGCAAAAATAACATTTTTGCATCATTACCTTACCTAAGCCTTACCTTGGAATTTACAGCTATTTACGTCTATAAAGCAAAAGTTTTCTGTTTGAATATCCTTGTTAGAATGTAATATTTTAATGTTTATTATAATTCATGATTAATTTGAAGGTGTTTGATCAAATTCTCACCGATATAAAAATATTATTCACAATAGAGCTACTTCCAGAAATCCATAATTAAATTAATATATACCAGACTATGTAACGAATTATATAAAACTTTTATTTGAATAATTTTTGTAAATATTACGCTTCATTAAGCTCAATCTAATAGAAATAGATAGTGTTATTACTTGGAAGAGCAACAGTATGAGATAAAAGAGAATTTTAGTGCGAGTCAATGATATTAATATGCCATTAAAATGCGGCAATATCTATATACTTGTTCCTTTATGTACTTTATAGTTTCTCATGAGTCTTACTTGCGGAATAATCGAATTTATGTACATGCACAATGTACATATATATTATATAGCATCAACCCGTCTCCAGTCTAAGTCTGTTATAGAATTTGTTGACAATAGCTTTGTCATGTTTAAGCGTATTTAATATATACAGTGATTTATATTTAGGAACCCATAAATAAATTCCACAATCGCTTGTTAATATAAATATATCGTTGTACAACATGTGAAATAGCTTTGAGATATCGTTAGCATCTTTTCTTATAATGGTTTTATGATCGTTAAAAGATTACGTATGTGAATTTTATGAGTGGAAATAAAAATATTGTTTCATATGTGGTATGTATGAAATGTTAGTTGTAACATAAATATTTATACATTTTGATGCATTAATAACTCATAATAGATTTTAAGATAGACAGATTGTACTAATTTGATTTCGTATTACATATATACAAAATTTTATGAATGTATATGTTAATTGAAAAGTGGAACTTGTAGATATAAGAGCAATAAACTGCAGCCTCCTTAGGGTAATATAAAATCCTTGTTTTCTAAAGAAACTCAGCAAGATAAAGTTTATTTAATTCTTGCTTAAGTATAATTTCATTTTGACCAGTCCATTAAAAAAATATTTTATAAATCGTTGTTATAATTCTCGGAGATTGTAAAATGTTTATAAAAGTAGTAAATAGTTTTTGTTATGTATAGAAGAACTGAATTAATTGTGATTTAATTAATTGTAAATGAATAGTTAGCAGAGAATGCAATAGCACTACCAAATCCCATTTATTTATAAAATGTAGTAAATATGTATTTATAGAATCAATGTCTACAGTGGTGGCCTAGTAGTTAAAAGACCCGCCTCTCATGCATGAGGGCGCGGATTCGATCCTGGCCCGGGCAAGTACCAATGTGATTTTTCCGAATCATATGTACTTTCTAAGAGTATTTAGACATCACTAATTAATACATTCCCAGAGTGTCGTAAAAACAATTAGCCAACATTCACAACTTGTAAGGCAGACCCTGGCTAAGTCTGGGAAATTTCTAGGTAGAAGAAGAGAAGATAATCAATGTCTACATATGGATTGTGAATAAATAAAATGATTTATCTGAAAACCAAGTATATATAAAGTATATTTCAATACAATTATTGTAATATAAAAACATAAAAGTATTTTCTACCGCAGCTTATACTCTCTGTGATAATATCCGCTGCAGTTCTTATGAGGAAGTAAAACCAATTGAAATATAATCCGGATTCTATCGAAGTTTCCGCGACAAGTAAATTTAAAATCGTCGTGACATCATCTATATATTTTTTTCATTATTCAAGATAATAGCTATATAGTTTAAAAATTTCTTAAAATGTTGTATATAATACTTATTTGTGTAATATACCATTGTTATTGAAATATCTTTTTACTGATTCTTCCACATAATTCAATAATGTGAATAAATTCAGCATATATGTCATTAATTAGAGAGAGAAGTTAATTAATTTTTGTTTAAAATACATTTTTGTATAAAAAAGTCAAGTAACAAAATCATATTGCTGCAGATAAGCTCTAATTCTGACAAGTTAACCAATGGACGTTTAAATATTGGACTGTAGTTTACTCTATACGACAAACTTTTATATATATTTAAATTCCTTTACTAACGAGTTGTAACATAAAAAATATGCTAGCTTTCAATGAACTTAAAAATATTCAAAGAAAAAGAAGCCATAATACAAAATCAAACTATGTATTTGGAGCTCTACTCTTCCTGGGATTTTTTTTTTTTTGATGACGTAGTGGAAACTCTTTTTACGAGCCGTCCAACCGGCCTTGGTGGGGCCGGAAGGGATGTGTGAGGCTCCTGGGATTTAAACTATTTGTTTTGTACCGATGTTTCAAAATAACAAGATAATTGTGATCACATCATTCGTAATCATAACTTACTTGCAACTTATTTAATACAGTTAATACGATAAAGATTCCTCTAAACAGAAATAACTAAGATAGATATACTAATATGAGATAAGTGACATTTTAATTAACAGTTTTATTAACATTTTGTTTGAAATATAATTGTCATTCTATTAATAAATGCAAGCAATGAATGAAATAAATAACTGTACTAAAATAACTTTGAGCGAACTAAGTATAAAGTAAAACGGCGTGAGTTCATAAAATACCTAAGTAAATAAAATAACATTAGAATGTAAAAAAGTACTCGTCTATTTTGGACAAACAAATAAAGCTGTTAACCATTTGTGTTCTAAATTACTTCCTTGCCTTAAATTTTGTATACAGTTGTCTCTTAAAACTTTTATTTTATGGCCCGTTTTTACCTTTTAAAGCCAAAATGCGGCTCCTATAGTCAGCTACATTTATTAAAATAACCAAACATGGTTAAAAACGAAGAATCTAACATTAAAAATATGTTATATAATACAATGGGTTAATATTTTTAATAAGAGATAACAAATTAAAAATCACATTTTTAATATACAAATTTATAAATATTTTTTTGTGATTCATCTCATTTGTTTAAAATATTACAATATGCTGTCACAAGTAAATAATTCCCAAAGCAGCATCATGACAATAGAAAAAATTCTATGTAACAGTGGATAGATATAAAGTAAAATAAAAACTAGAAGCTTTATAGCTCGTAGTTTTTTAACAAATACCAACTTACTTTAAAGTTAATGATGTGAAAAATAAGCTTGGAACTAACAAACTGCGTATATACATAGTTCCAAAAGAGTTGTCAAGTTAGGCCTCGCTAACAAAGGACGACTGAAAAGTTTAAAGAAAAATAAGAATTTCAAGTTGGACCTCGAAGACATTTCTTCTATCCCAAAGAACTAAGTTCCTTACTATACTGTACTGAACTGCATTGTTGTGTTTCAACTTTCAATACATTACTGTTGTTTTTTTACACCTCGCACTGTACAAACAAAAAAAAAATTATACAAAAATATTACTTATATTAGAAGTTAAGTAAATAAATTAAAATTATTACTAATTTAATAATGAGATCCTTGTGATTAAAATGGAAAACAATAGTTTCTTTGTTGTGCTTTGAAAATTTCACTGACCGAATGTATAAGAAGATGTTTTCCCTATTTAATTTAATAATTGTGAAGTCATTAAAAGTTGATATTTTTTATGATTTCTAATATATTTTTTTTAGAATTCGACAATGTGTGTTGAAGACGGAGATTACGGAGAAAGCAGAGAACCTATTGCTGATCCATTTACTTGTATGCAGAATTTAGAAGCTCCTGTAAACGTGTGCACCAGGAAGGCGTGGAATTGTCAAGCGAGCCACCACTACCCAAACGTATGACCACGACCACTCTGTCAAGAGTGATACCGACTGAGAAGAAGAATTAAGGGAGCATATGAGGCAGTATTTCTATTATAATATTTAAGCAACTAAGCATATTGTATAGGGATACTCGTAGGTTGACTTTCACAAGCCCGATACGTTCAAGAGGTAAGCTAGTAAATAACGTATAGACGTCTATACATCGAACTAACAATGCTGTCTTTAATTTCAAGTGCTTAAAGTAAATAAAAATGCTGTAGGAATACCTAGCATATGCTTTTTTATAATCCCGAAGTTGTGATAAGATTTTTTGAATAAGATTGGCCAGGATATTTAAA